AATTAGCCGCTAGCCTTGTTGACTAACGAGAGATTTTTGTCGTAGTTCAATTTCTTGGAATTAAGGACCCACCAAACGTGGGTTCTGACTACACAATTTATTAGAGGAAGTAGAGTAGTACATGGAGGAACTCTAATTATATTTTTTCCCTTGTCAGGGTCTAGCAATAGGTTTCTGTAAATATTTGAAATTTCTATTGATTTGTTTGAGGCAGACATTCAAAGCGTATCTATCTTTATTAAACAATTGCATTACACATTGTGAAAACCTAAAATATTATTGGTACATTAAAGCTTAAAAGCACTTACGATAAAATATTAGTTATGTTGCAAAGAACACTACTTATGGACCTTGTGGATAATAATTTGTAAATCAATTGAATGAGTGATTAACACTGCCTTCTTTAGTATGTTTTTGAAATATTTGTAAGATTCATTGATTTGTTGGTTTGTCTGTAGCAGACATACACAACATAACAATCTTTATTACACAACTTTATTAACAAAATTACTTTTTGTAGACAATTCCTGAATACATTTTGTTAAGCTGTGAATGACTGCCTCAAACAAATCAAATGATCTTAGAAATATTTAAAAAAGCATATCAATAAAGGTAGTCTTAACCATTCATTCAAACAATAAAAAAAATATCTCTGAAAATTCACCGTTTTCCCCCGTAGCGTTACATTACGTTTTGTAAATTGTGTAATCATTAGGGGAGAAAGTAAAAAAAATGTTGAACTTATAGGTATATATTGTTCACTTATATTTTGCCATCAACGCATTCGAATATTCCGTACAATTTGAAGAAAAGTGTAACATTATTAAACGCATCATATGCATGGAAGCGCCCAAGAACTGCCACAACTGTCTAATGTCGTGTAGGCCCCCCGCGAGATCGGAGACGTGCCGCAACACGACTTGGCATAGACTCGACCGATGTGTGAAGTAGTGCTGGAGGTAATTGACACCAGGGATCCTGCAAGGCTGTCCATGAGCTAGTAAGAGTACGAGGTGGTGGAGATCTCTTCAAAACAGCACGTTGCAAGGCATCCCAGATATGCACAATAATGTTCATGTCTGGGGATTCCGGTGGTCAGTGGAAGTGCTTAAATTCAGAAGCCATTCTGTAGCAATCTGGACGTGTGGGCGTCGCATTGTTCTGGTGGAATTACCCAAATCCGTCGGGATGCACAATGGACATGAATGGGTGAAGGTGATCAGACAGAATGCTTACGTACGTGTCACCTGTCAGAATCGTATTTAGACGTATTAGCAATCCCGTATCACTCCAACTGCACCCACCCAATACCATCACATAGCCTCCACAATCTTGAAGAGTCCCCTGTTGATATGAAGGGTCCATGGATTCATGAGGTTTTCGCCATACTCCTACATGTCCATCCTCTCTAAACAATGCAAAACGAGATGTGACAGACGAGGCAACGTGTTTCCAGCCATCAACAGTTCGATGTCGGTGTTGAGGGGCCCAAGGCAAAGCGTAAAGCTTTGCGTCGTGCAGCAAGAGTACGCGAATGAGCCTTCGGTTCCGAAACCCCATATCGATAATGTCTCGTTGAATAGTTCGCACGGTGACACGCACGTTGATGGCCCAGCATTGAAATCTGCAGCAATTTGCAAAGGGGTTGCTCTCACGCGCAATGATTCTCCTCAGTCGTCGTCGGTCGCTTTCTTGCACGATCTTTTTGCAACCATAGCGACACCGAAGGTTTAATATTTTACCGGATTCTCGATATTCATGGTACACTCGCGAAATGTTCTTACGGGGAAATCCAAATTTCGTCGCGACCTCAGAGATGCTGTGCCCCATCTCCATTGCGTCGACTATAGCCCCACGTAAAATCTCACTTAAATCATGATAACCTGCCAGCAGTAACCGATCTAATAACTAGAGACCGGATTTTTATGTAATTACATATCTTTTGTATTTCTACTTACCGTACTGAAAATAGTATTCTTCGCGAATCGTCACCGTCCTGACACAATACCCATTTTTTTCGTAACATATTTTTACATATTTAGTACTATATTACGTATCTTACATATTTTGCTATTTTCACAAAATATTACTTTTTTTCAGAAAAGGGTTTCAAAATAATCAGCTTTTCTCTTTTATTAATACTGCTTGCCAGCCATTTATCATTTTTGTAGGTATGAAAAGAACCACTGACGCCGCGTTTCGTGACCTTCAACCCCAACTGTCGAGAAACTTAAGCGATCACCGACGTGAGACACATCGATGAGAATGCTCACCTCTGTATTGATTGATTGCTGGTCATTGATTCCGCCAGTATTTATAACTGCTTCTATTGCGACTAGTCTGGCTGCTAAACTACAATGCTGGTTAAGAAATATTGAGGCTTTAACTACCGAACAGGACGAATTTGGGTAGGATTAAACACAATTAATAGGCAGAATGTTGATACCATAGAAGAAACCAAGAAATGAAATGAGATTCAATCAAGTATGCAAGAAGGCAAGATGACCATAAAAAAGGAAATGAAGTAAAAAATAAAATCAAGAAAAGGAGGAAGTGAGAGAGAAAAGAAATTGTAAACATGGAATCCAGAGGAACTGGTATCATTCCTGCGGCGCTATAGATATTATTTGGAAAGCTCATAGTTTCGTTTGTGATGAATATATCCTTACAAACTTACCTATATAGTTGCGATATCTGTCACTGAAAGCGAGGTAAGCACATGGGGCTGTAGTATTACTTAGTTCAGAGATACAGCGTTAAACAGGAGGTAAGCTAACGCGTAAGTGGGGACGGTTACCGATGCAGTTGCGAGATCCAGCGCTGAAGGGAAGGGAAGCAACGGGTTGTGTGGTTGTGTTTACCGATGCAGTTGCGAGATCCAGCGCTGAAGGGGAGGGAAGCAAACGGGGTGTGTGGTTGTTTTACGATGCAGTTGCGAGATCCAGCGCTGAAGGGAAGGGAAGCAACGGGTTGTGTGGTTGTGCTTACCGATCGCAAGTTGCGAGATCCAGCGCTGAAGGGAGGGAAGCAACGGGGTGTGTGGTTTGTGTTACCGATGCAGTTGCGAGATCCAGCGCTGAAGGGAAGGGAAGCAACGGGTTGTGTGGTTGGTTTGACCCGATGCAGTTGCGAGATCCAGCGCTGAAGGGGAGGGAAGCAACGGGGTGTGTGGTTGTGTTTACCGATGCAGTTGCGAGATCCAGCGCTGAAAGGGAAGGGAAGCCACGGGTTGTGTGGTTGTGTTACCGATGCAGTTGCGAGATCTAGCGCTGAAGGAGGAGAAGCACCGGGTGCGTGTGGTTGTGTTCCACCGAATGCAGTTGCGAGATCCAGCGCTGAAGGGGAAGGCGAAGCAACGGGGTGTGTGGTTGTGCTTACCGATGCAGTTGCGAGATCCAGCGCTGAAGGGGAGGGAATCAACGGGGGGTGTGTGTGTTTTACCAATACGGCTGCTAAATCCAGCGCTGAGGGAAGGAAGCAACGGGTGTGTGGGTTGTGCTTACCGATGCAGTTGCGAGATCCAGCGCTGAAGGGGAGGGAAGCAACGGGGTGTGTGGTGTGTTTACCAATACGGCTGCTAAATCCAGCGCTGGAGGGAAGGGAAGCAACGGGTGTGTGTTGTGCTTCACCGATGCAGTTGCGAGATCCAGCGCTGAAGGGAGGGAATCAACGGGTGTGTGGTTGTGGTTTACCAATACGGCTGCTAAATCCAGCGCTGAGGGAAGGGAAGCAACGGGGTGTGTGGTTGTGCTTATCCGATTGGCAGTTGCGAGATCTAGCGCTGAAGGGGAGTGAAGCACCGGGGTGTGTGGTTGTTTCACCGATGCGAGTTGCGAGATCAGCGCTGAAGGGAAGGGAAGGCCAACGGGGTGTGTGGTTGTGCTTACCGATGCAGTTGCGAGATCCAGCGCTGAAGGGGAGGAATCAACGGGGTGTGTGGTTGGTTTGCCAATACGGCTGCCTAATCCAGCGCTGAGGAAGGGAAGCAACGGGGTCGTGTGGTTATATCTCGTCTGCTGGGTAACCGATGCAGTTGCGAGATCCAGCGCTGAAAAGGTGAAGGGAAGCAACGGGGTGGTGGTTGTGCTTACGCATGCAGTGCGAGATCGCAGCGCTGAAGGGGAGGGAATCAACGGGGTGTGTGGTTGTGTTTGCAATACGCTGCTAAATCCACGCTGAGGGAAGGGAAGCAACGGAGGTGTGTTGGTTGTGGCTTAACCGGATGCAGTTGCGAGAGTACCAGTCGCTGAAGGGGGGGATCAACGAGGGGTGTGTGGTTGTGTTTACTACCATAGGCTGCTAATCCAGCGCTGAGGAAGGGAAGCAACGGTGTGTGGTGTGCTTACCGATGCAGTTGCGAGATCCAGCGCTGAAGGAAGGGAAGCAACGGGTTGTGTGGTTGTGTTTAACCGATGCTAGTTGCGAGTCCAGCGCTGAAAGGAGGGAAGCAACGGGTTTGTGTGGTTGTGCTTACATGCAGTTCGCGAGATCTAGCCTGAAGGGGAGGGAAGCACCGGGGTGTGTGGTGTGTTCGACCGATTGCAGTTGCGAAAACTCCAGCGCTGAGGAAGGGACCAGCAACGGGGTGTGTGGTTGGGCTTACCGAGCAGTTGCGAGATCCAGCGCTGAAGGGGAGGAATTCAACGGGGTGTGTGAGTGTGTTCACCGATGCAGTTGGAGATCAGCGCTGAGGGAAGGGAAAGCAACGGGGTTGGTGTGGTTGTGCTTACCGATGCAGCTTGCGGATCCAGCGCTGAAGTGGAGGGAAGCAACGGGGTTGATTGGTTTGTTTCCGCATTGCAGTTTGCGAGAATCCAGTGCTGAAGGGAAGGGAGCAACGGGTTTGTGTGGTTTGTGTCTTACGATGCAGTTTGCGAGATCTAGCGCTGAAGGGGAGGGAAGCACCGGGGTGTGTTGTTGTGCTTCACCGATGCAGTTGCCGAGATTCCAGCGCTGGAAGGGAAGGGAAGCCAACCGGGGGGTGTGTGGTTGGTGCTTACCGATGCAGTTGGCGAGATCCAGCGCTGAAGGGGAGGTATGAGAAAGGCTTTCGTCGCACTGTCTCCTCCTGAGTGAAGCGCTCGGGGTCGAACCTCTCCGGATACGGAAACAGTTCAGGGTTCCGGTGCAGGAAGTAGAAATTCAGAAACAGTGTTGCACCTGAGGGTACTGTCAATGTGCCTGGAGGGAAAGAACCATATAATTTTCTTTAATCATTTCTTTAATTTTCATTTATGTTTTTGAGCGTTTGTTGTAATTTTTGCTAATTTTCATTTCTGTTAAATTTCTTCACCAACGTTAGTAACTGTGTTTACCAACCAGCTGATTCAAGTGATTATGTTTCAATAATAATTGTCATCCTAATTAGTCACCACTCAGTCGATCGTCCTGTAATTTATGTAATTATTGATTTAAGAGTTCAATTATATTTGAGTTAAATGAATTTTATATTTTATGAATTTCCTTGTACGAAAGCTTCCTTTTACTGGACATTTCAGAAGCTAATTTCAAGTAAGCCGAGGCGTATATTACGCCTCTGAAACGATTAAGTGTCCTTTGCGCTACTGCAGGGCGAAGTTAGTGCAAAAATATTGGAGCTATTTTTCAGAAAATTTTGAAAATTTATTCGAGGCTTCTCGTAAAGTACCCTCAATTATCAAAATACCAGTTTGAACCTCCCAAAGCCTCGAGTTCGTTCATATCTATCGGACAATACGAAGTTTGGAGAAAATCGGTTGAACAGTTTAGGCGCTTCTGTTGACCACATAGAGCCAGTCGGACAGATGTTTTGCTTCAATCAATTTTTCGCTTTCAAGGACCCACCAAAATATGAAATTAGGCTACACCACGGGTAATAGAAAGTACTTTCCTAGATATAGCTACAGCATGTATTCACTTTTACGTTACCAGAGTCGCAACAAGATTCTTTCTAGTGAAAATTCACGGCGCACAACTACATTACTTTCTCTTCTTACGAAGGAGGGTGTTATTTTCCTGCGTTTCAACTATATTAGGACTTGCGTTGACGCAGGAAATAAGGGCGGGGCATGTATCACCATTGGACTCTTGGATCCGTAATCGTCTTTCCTCTTTCTCAAACGCTCACAAGCAGAATTTTCACACATCAAGTACGACTTATTTAAATTATTTCCCTTCGTTCCCAGTGCGCATAACCGCTAACCTCAAGGGTTGGCGAGATAAACACTCACCCATGAGATTAGCAGTGATGAGCTCTGGGAACGAAGAGATAAGCAAATAATTAACAAAACACTTGAGATTTTGAAAGATTTGTATGAGGTGGATTGCAGAAAGTTTGAATACTATATCCACTTGGAGAGTACGCCTCGTAGAATCCTTACATGCATGTATATGACATTTGGCACTTCAAATACGGTCTTGAAGGCTTAGCTTGTGAAGGTACATCTTATAAAACAGTTTCCGTCCGCAGTACAGTGGTTCAATAAGATGGAACACACATGCACCACTATCGATTTTTGATTAGTATTCACACATTTTTGAATACACCTCTCACAAATCTCCAGTGTTTTAATAAGTATTTGTAGTTCTCTTCGTTCCCAGTGCGCATAATTCGTAACGTCAAAGGTGAGTGTTAATCTCAGTGTATTCTCAACGCCAACATTATAGGTATATCCACGTCCATAGCGCGTGTTCAATCCAGGTTGGGAACAGTTAATTTTTGAAATGTGATCCACTCTGGTCATGTGGTACTTACGGCATGAGAAGGAGTTTGGCTAAATTCACGGCAAAATTAAATCCTTAGAGAATTTGTGACCTCATCAGATCCCACATTAGCTTAGCCAGAGATTGCATCAGTTTAGTACTACTCAGAACGTGGTTTGGTTCTCTCTGCCACTCTAGTATTGCTTAACATTGATTCCTAATTGTACCGAAAATCAAATAGTCACGTTCATTTTATCGTCACAGATTATTTATATACTTAACATTAAATGAAAGTTACATAATACACTTGGATCTGAAGCTCAACTTATAAGTCGGATCCAATTTAGCGATTTCACCCCACGAGATTCTCCTGGGAACTATTTAGTATGTTTAATTCATAAAAAATGCACCCATTAAGAATAGAACTAGAAGTTTAAAACCATGAATGCGTAATTGTGTTAGCAAACTAATTCCACACAAATTTTCTACCCTGAATAGTTATGGATAATAGCATGGAAGCAAAATACTCAACGTTCGAACACATTAGATTTGCCAGATACATTTTGAAATGACACTATAAAAAGCATATTTTAATTTTATTTTCTTCCCTACTACACTAAATTAATATATTTGTAATGGATTAAAATACATATAATCATTAGTGATCTATCAACACAAATTTGTAACATTAACAAACAAATGTACTAATTGTTGTGTTGTACGAACTGTTTGTAAATAAACATTACAGAAGAACAATGTAGAATATATAGTATTAGTTTCACAGTTTTGCAAATGAATGTATGGTCAAGAGTAAATGGTAAAAGAAAAATCAGTAACACGAATAGCCTTAAGTACCATGAAAATACATTTTTAAAGTTATTACGAAATAAGTTTCAAGGGTTCTTACTTGATTCAAGGCGCAAATCGCTGCTTATTTGCCTGGCAACTCCAGACACTGGTGGGTAAATTCTCATTGATTCCTTGATCACCATTTCCAGATATTTGAGTTGCGATAGTTCTTGTATCGATGGCTCCAAGGGCTTTGAGCAATCGAATATAGCCTCCAACTCTCCCAGAATTTTCTCCTGAAATGTAAAACTCAAATAAAAGTCATGAACACTAGTGGGAAACTGTGGCATATTATTACGTTTCCTCCTCTTAGTATTATAAGTCTATAACTACAAAAAATGCATGACATAATTTAAAAATTTAAAATTGAAAGTTACATTAAATTGATAAAGATACGACTTGCTTTTTATTGAAGTTGTGGAATGGGTACGAAAAAATTTGAACTTTTTCAATTTTTAAGATGAACGAGGTTTTCATAAAATTAATTTAATTATAATGTAAGTGAGCTTTCCTCTGTAGGGGCAAAAAATTTAACTCTCAAGTAATTTGTCAGAAAACTTTTAACTTCAACGATTTATCGAAACCCTTAAACTATAATTTCTCAAAAGAAAGCTCTCATTTTTTAAACGAAAATTTCTATACAGGACGAGGTTTTTCACTTGTATTTTATTCTTAGTAATATTCCGTTTTTACAATTAGGGAACCGAATAAATGGGAAAATAGCGAAAAAAAGTGTACTTTGGGTGGTGACATATTTCAGCTGGAAGTAAGATGGTGCCAAGCCCCAAAGCTAGCCCGGATTAAAGAAATTAGAAAACTATCTAGCACCAGAGAGTCTGTACTGTAGCCCCACTAGTAACTTTTAGGCGTACTGCTCACGCAATTAGAAAACGTATTGATATGCTGCGAGATCGACAACGTCATCCGCTGGGAGCTTTAGGCGCGAAAAATACGTGAGTCAACGTGAGGATTGGCGCTTGATCTGCCGTTTCTGCAGGGCAGGAATGCCACCAACTCCCATTGATTGATTGATTGTTTTGCGATTTAGGCGCTGCTAAGGGCTACGCTCACTAGTCCTCTAAGTGCAGTGCATGCTTTGTGGCGGTGATTTTCCGCTCGCTAGCGAGGTACGGCGCTAGCCTACGTCGACTTGTGAGGATTTTCTCCAATCTATTGTCGTCCACAAGCGTGGCAACGCCACAGTCGAGACAAGCTCTAAGCTCCCGACTAGTCTCCTGACATGTTTGATAGCGTAATGCATGTGGGTATGTGTATAAGTAAAGGGTCAGGGAAGAGGAAGGAAAGACAGCGCCAGATCCGAGGCTCGCTTGTTAGGGCACTGCTCGGGCATTCGCCTGGTATTGATCGAATAACCACGGAAAACTACAAATCAGAGCAGCCCGATACTAGAATTATCCTCCAGACAGGGGCTGAATTTGACCTAGCTGACAAGCTAGACTCGAAAATCCTGCCACCGCCGGGGCTCCAATCCCAGACCTCTCGGTCAGATGCACTGTAGTGAGATGATGTACTGAGCCACATTTGCCAGTCTCTCTCTCGGGTTATAACATACATTGCACTTATGGGAATTAAGACAAGAGTAGTTTCGGACATACAATACACTAAATTTTCTGTCGCTTTCTGGAATTCCCTGTAGTTACAATTATGTTCAAGAATGATTACTTACGTAACTAGCTCAGAAAGGGAGTATTTGGAGTATATACAGAAGAGTAGCGTAATCATTTTCTCAGGGTAGTCATCATCGCACATTTACGTATTATTATTATTAATAATAATAATAATAATAATAATAATAATAATTAGCATATACCAACTAGTGGTACTAAAACTGAACGTACTTTCTCGCCCGTATTTTCATTCAAAATTACGAAAAAATCGACAAATAGTACAAATCTTTATTTCAAAATCCATCTTTAAGGAATAGATTTTATTAAAACAACAGATATCTATCTTCATAATTGTAGTTGTTAGACATGGAAAAGGTGTGGAATTTTTGTAATTTTGAAAAACTCACCGAAAATGAGACCTGCACCATTCTCTTAAACGTTCTTCACAATATCCAACAAAAAATGTAATCAAAATCCGTTGAGCCACTTTTTTGAAAATTCGAAAAATTTCACAGAGGCTTCATGTAAAGTTCTTCCCAAAATTAAAATATCGATTTAAAATTCAAGGGGTCGCGACTTAAGCGAGATCGATTGCGGAGTATCAATTTTGAAGAAAATCATCAGAAATGTTTAACCTCTATCGTTGTTCACAGACAGACCGACAGAAGTTTTGCCGTCAATCGATTTTTTTGGTATCAAGGACCCACAAAACATGTATTCTAGCTACACCACATGTTAGAGGTCTTTTTGTAAATTTAACAACTGGATTTATCAATTGTTTTGTTACCAGGACCCTGCAATTAGTTTCTCTGCCTCTTACCTTTTTTCTCACAGCAACTCTCTCTATTCCGTAGTGAGAAGGTAACTAGCTGTGGTAAAACACAACGTACGTTTTTGCCATTAGTAATGGGTATATAATACTATTTGTAGCACAATTTCTCTCCGCATTATTTTTTGTAAAACTCATTTGAAATCGTAGAACATTTGGTGCGAAAAATAAGCAGAAAGTGAGGATGTACAATAGTTAAAAGTTAACAAATAATTTGGTACTGATAGGGTTTGAAAACAAATAGATCGACAAATTTATAATAGTAATTATTAAACACTACAGTATATTAATATTCTGCAAGTATATTGTGGTGGCACAATATTTGAGGGAATACGAGATTACGCAACTTAACGCAGCGTGTAGTTCTTTCGTGAGTTACGGGTGCAGCTTTCCGCCTTGGGATTGCTGCCCGCTCGGGCGCCGCTTTACTTTGTATTTGTTTACGGGTCGACGACACTGACCTTTCCACACCCTCTTACCTCTCATCTCAAAAGCCCTGAGCTAAGTTACATCCCCTTGGTTAACGCATACCAGGATGTTTACTAGAAACGATGCGAGGAAAAATCTTGTTTGTGATCTTCTAGTGAATAACATGTAAATTGTATATAAACGGGAGTCAAGTAGCTCTTACTAGCATTGTTTCTCCAGACGCTACTCACGCTCCAAGATGTCAGCGTCAACGTTAGTTCACACGTTTAGTTATCGTAGATACGTTAGCATTAGTGCAACAAGGACACAACTGCGGTACGACTTATTGTAATAAAACCCTTTTAAAAACTTGATTTCGGTCACTGGAAACATAATTGCCACTGTTTACAAGATTAGGACGGAGGGTAGCCCCGACTGCGACAGCTAAATACTATTACTTCAAATAAATTATACCAGACCACCTTTGCGGAAGCAAACGTGTCGCTGCAAGTTTGCCGCTTGCATCATGAGTGAGAGAGAACGTTATTTCCACACGAGAACTTGTCTGGGAATGGTTAAGAAAATATTACTGCGCAATTGATTTCGGTCACTTTCCATAGGCGTATTTGAAAGAGTGGGGAGAAGAAGAGATTGTAGTCAACGAGAGAGAGTTGCGTAGAACGCCGACTAGGGAAATGGTTTTGGGCGCCAGAGCCAAACGGATCGCGGAGCATATGACCGCATCCATGCGCGGTAATTTCTTTACTTTCCAGGACTTGTCAAAATAGACAGATTCGATGTGAATGCAGAGCTGGCGATCGCAATCTTACACAATAATTAGTTGAGATGTGGCGGTTAGTTGAGAACGATGAGGAACGCAGAACGAGAGATCGCGTTGTTCAGGATGCTAAGTATTGCTTAGATGATTGAAGAAATGAATTGCTTGATGAGTATTGCTTAGATGATTGATGATATGAAGAAACAGAAACGAGAGAAGTCTCGTGCATCGCCTTTCTGTTGTAGATAGAAGAGAAGGATCTGAAATGACGACACGTATTTGAAGAGAATAACCTTTGCCGTACGAATCATTAAGTAATGAAGAAACTCTCATGGTTACCATTGTCTGGACGAAAATAAACGTTCTCCTTACTAACTGTATTCGTTAATCATGTTTCTGCTGTTTTTGCCGCGTCTCAGAGCGCGGGTCGCGGAGACATTAACGTTCTGGGAATTGCTTGCCAACGTACTGAACCAAACTTTCCATGCAACCCATACACATATTACTCAGCTTCTCTGCACGATTGCTATGAAACTGCTCGCGGTTCACGATTCTCAAACAATGCGATCTAGTCGCGTAGAAGCCCAGGAGGTGTTACGATCTACTGGTCACATTTGGAAGTAGTTGAAGGCCTATTGTAAAGAACTTCCATACTAAATAAATTATCTGCTGTTAGTGAAAATATTCGCGTAATTTTTGCCCAAATTTTGATAATATCGAAGGCACCAAGTTAGAAATGTATCATCTTTCCTTTTCAAAAACCTCAAACAATAGCAAAACTGAGTACGCTCGGAGCGTGGCACCAAATTTGAATTGCTTTGGCCGCCCATGTGCCAACACGCGTACTGATATGTGATTGGTCGAGTGTACTTCATGAACTTGGATAACCAAGCAATCAAGTTGTGCGTTCGCTCCCAGCTTTCGAACTTTGTTTGTGACGTGCGTCGTATTATGCCGTTACGATAAGATACCTTGACCTTCCAAAACCTGCCAAATTTGTATAAGGACAAATTATTAGAACGTGGGAATCGTGCAAAAGTGCGTGGCTCTGGAGGCAGCAGTGCACCGCAGCCAGCGTTGAATAACCGGCGCCCGCCCAGCAGTCCCCGTCCTCACGAGTTTGGAGAGGGGGCGGAGCTTCCACATTAAGCAATCTAAGCCCATAAGCTAATACATTAACCGAAAAAGTTTCATAGTTTATCAAAAAGTCACTTTCATCATGTTTGTTATACACTAGACAGCCTTACTAATTATTCTTCTGTTTTAATTCAAGTAAATAAATCTCTTACTCGGCTTCTATCTTACATTAAGATCAGTAGTAGCTATATTTTTCTTATCTATAAGTTTCAATACTCTATTTGTTTGTTAATAATGTAGCAGAATATGCATACACAGCAATACCAGTTATACTATTATTAAAACAACACTTTGGAAAACGACATAAGATATATTCACGGAAGTTGTGTTTCGTAGTCCATCGGACCTTAACAGTCGAATATCGCAATGTCTCCTCGCAAACGACTGCGTCCGGGAAGCTTTTAGAGAATATGTATTTCAAGTGTTGAGTATAAATGCGGCCCTAAAATTCACCTGCACAGCGGGATGTCGCGACAAGAGGAAGGCAGTGAAGGAGATGGCGGCGGCCGTGGTGTCATGGCCTTCGAACATGAAGGTGTCCACCTCCTCACGGATGTCGGCGTCGGACAGGCTGCCATCTCTCGCGATGAGCAGCAGCAGGTCCAGGAAGGCCACGCGGCGCCGCCGACCTGCAGCACAACGCGGCGCTGCAGTTTATAATAGAGCACTTGCAGCACAACGCGGCGCTGCGGTTTATAATAGAGCACTTGCAGCACAACGCGGCGCTCGTGGGGCGCTGCCACTGCGGTTTACAATAGAGGACTTGTAGCACAACGTGGCGCTCGTGAGGCACAGCCACTGTGGTTTATAATAGAGCACTTGCAGCACAACACGGCGCTCGTGGGGCACTGCCACTGTGGTTTATAATAGAGGACTTGTAGCACTACACGGCGCTTGTGGGGCACTGGCACTGTGGTTTATAATAGACAACTTGTACAACAACACGGCGCTCGTGGGGCACTGCCACTGCGGTTTATAATAGAGGACTTGTAACACAACACTGCGCTCGTGGGGAACTGCCATTGTGGTTTATAATAGAGCACTTGCATCACAACGCGGTGCTGTGGTTTATAATAGCGCACTTGCAGCACAGCGCGGCGCTCGTGGGGCGCTGCCACTGCGGTTTACAATAGAGGACTTGATACACAACACGGCGCTCGTGGGGCACTGCCACTGTGGTTTACAATAGAGGACTTGTAACACTACACGGCGCTTGTGGGGTACTGCCACTGCGGTTTATTATAGAGGACTTGTAACACTACACGGCGCTTGTGGGGCGCTGCCACTGTGGTTCACAATACAGCACTTGTAGCACAACACGGCGCTCGTGGGGCATTGCCATTGCAA